AAGAAAAGAAAATGGAGAAGACTTCGCAGTTTTGGACATCAGGATGGGTGACAACAGCTCACAAATGGCACTAATGTTGAGTAAAATGTCCACAAACTGGCGTGATAAACAGGCGTACGTTCTCGAATATGGTTACATCGACCGCAAGAGGTAACAGCTGCGGAAAACCGCCTTGTCTAATCCAGCTTGAGGTCTATAAAATTTTATCCATTTGGTTTGCAGGTGTAACAGTGGAATTAAATTATTCTTGAAACTTATCATACATTATTGCAAGAAGTACGACTCACTCTAATTCGTCAAAGGAAGAGTGAATAGGCTCCAAAATAATAAATAGTTAAATAATTAAAATCATCTAAGAAATATCCTCTATCATCAGCCCTAGAATTTAACCGTCAGCCGTCAAAATCGGAAAAAATTAACCATCAACTCAGATTAAACTCAGCAGTCAAAGCTACCCCGCCCCCACTCCCCACCCCACACCAACTGAGACCCTCAAATAGATATAGAAATACATAAGGTTGTTAAAAAAAAAAGAAAAAAGAAACAAGTCAATTGACGAAAATGTTTGTCCAAAATTCTTGTGAAGTTTCGCAAAAGAACAGTTTATGATCACTTGAGTTTCATTCGTCACGACTGCCATACCTGCCCTGACAAACAATCTATCGTCGGTTTCTTTGACTTCTTGTTCCCATTAACCGTTTTTTGTTGTTGTTGTTGTTTTTCAGTCTTTTGGCGCTGCTTTCTTCAGATCATTTCAATAGACGTCATAGGAAAGAGCTGACTGATCTTCCGCTAAAGGTGAACAATAAGTGATCTTGCCGCAAGGTCAGAGTTTGTAAAAAATAACGAGTTCAAAAAATGAAAATGCTGCATTTTCACCAGCGCAGTGCAGATTCACTCCTTACTTACAGTGAGAAGTTTCAAAAACTGTCCCGCCCAAATCTTCCGTAGACCTCTCTCCAATCGTTTTGGTCATAATGTAATCATTGGTGTTCGTGACCGACCGCTGACCGCTAATGGCTTCTTCTCACCTGACTAATGAGAGTAAAGATGAATTCTGATGTCAGGAGTTCGATCAAACAAACTTTTAATAAAATCGAATGTTTAATCAAACAAGATGTTTGCCACATTGTCAGAGTTTGTAAAAAATAACAAGTTTTAAGGAGGTTCCATAGGGTAGGCCTTTCCCGATTATAATACTAAAACTGGCATTTTATGCTCCTAGAAATTCCGCTTTGCGCCAAAAAAAATGCTCAAATTATGCTCGATTCTCAAAATAATGCTACTTTGATTTCAGAAAATGCTTTGTTTAATTTCAAGCAAAACGTAGAAACTCAGGCATCATGTGCGTATCAGCAACTGGATAAAGTGAAAAGTGTTTTAATTGTTTGTTTATAAAACTTCTGATACAGTCAAAACTTGTCCAATGATAAACAGTTAATTAATGTTCGAAGTCCTTAGCGCTTGTTGTACTGTGACATGACGCTGGCTTGGAGGTAGTCAACAAGAGCACAATTCTGTTGCTCGTTGAAGGACGCCTTCAGTATTGAAATACTGTCTGCCGTAGCAGACGATGGTTGGACAAGGAGAACTTGCTTCACTGCGGAAGCCCAACGAGGAAGTTGCTCCTCGTGCTCACATCACAATTCGACTTTCTTCTCTTCAATCGGGATAACAACATCTTCAGCGGAAGCCCAATAGGCAGGAAGCTCGGCTTTGAGACCGTCGATGGTAGTATCACTATCCAGGAAAGGAAATGCTCTCAGAGACTCTACTAATGCATTTGTGGGCTTAAGCCACTGGATCGTAACAGGGCAGAATGGTCTGGCAGCCTTGAATGCTACCACTACATCATAAAGATCGACATTGAACTTTCTCAGAAACCACCTAATTGCCGGCTCAACACAAGCCTTCGCACTCCGTTCAAGTGCTGTTACGTTCTGACATGGGTCTTCCTCCGAAATTGCGGTTGCAATTGCACGGACGTTAAGGAAACAAGGAACTTGACAAAGTTGGGAAACGGCGCTTAGTTTCTCATAACAAGCAAAAACCAAAGGACCATCCCCTTCCAAAAAATACGTGGCTTTCACAAAATGTTCGCCAACATCAATAGTAGCGGCAAGCTCAAGCTTCAAGCTCATTAGTCGCTGTGGGTTAGAAAGTATTGCTTGAAGTTGTGCTGTGGGCAAACTTTTGCGTCCTTTGCCTCTCCTATGAACCTTGCGACATCTCCAAACTGTACCATCAACTGATGATACACCTCCCATTTGGACCACCATCTAGTCTCGCTGTATGATCTTGGTGTTTGACCTGTTAGATCCTTCCATAACAGCTTGGCTTTACAACTACGGCGAAACATTCTAATCCAAAGGCTTCCGAACTCTACCAGTGTTGGAATCACTAAACGGTTTCCCACGTTATCAAGTGTATGAGAGAAGCACACGTCATTCAGCATCTTAGGGAATATAAATGCTATTCTGTCCACTGCTACTTGGTTAACGCTTGCACCGTCTCTCATGGCTGTGAGCAAGGAATTTGCTGTAAACCCCATAATCAACAGACAGGCACTGATTAAGAACTTGTGCTAGTCCGTTGGCATTAACTGACTTAGAGCAAACATCAATTCTCACAAGCCATGGAAATATACTGCTCTAGATGAGAGCTTCCAGTGAGTCGATAGCTGTTCTTCTCCAACAGAGACCGTAGCATGTCTATTTTACCGATCGGGATACCCGCCTTCAAAAACTCACTGAAAACTTCGAGTCTGTAGGCACATTCTTCCACGGGCAACGTGTTACCTTTTGAACTTCCTTCTCTTCTGAATGCCTCAATTATGGTCTGGTCTTTCAATTTCGACTTTTTCAACTTCTTTTTACCGTTTTGATGCTTCTTGGATAAAATGTGGATTTTCAGAACACTTTTCTTGGAGGAAATTATCAAGTTCTCTACATCCACTGCAAAACAACTTTCCTTCTCTGACAATCAAATTCTCGCCTGGGAACTGCTTAACTCGCTCACATAACGGCACTTTCGTTGTATCGCTGTTTCCTCTCCGCTGGCAATTTCCACTGGTTGATTCTAAAGATCGATCTCGAGCTATTGTTGAAAGGACTGGTCTATGTTCTCCTTCAGAATTTCCTTCTATGAGCTGCAAGTATCGAGAACATGGCGTGGCACTAGCCGATGCCATCTTGTTTGTACCTACGCGTGAACGGCCTCTGAAAGTTAACCACTGGCCAACTGCACTTAGTTCATACAGTTACTGAAATCCTTCTCTAAAACACATAGGCAAATCATCACAATGCTTTTGAATTCTAAAATTTAGCATTAAAACTCTTTTGAGTGCTGAAATCTAGATCAAAGTTATGCAAAATGCTAAATAATGATAGCAATTATTTTTACAGAAAAAGTGTGGAAATGCTTTTTTAGCCACATGATGCCAAAAAAAATGCTAGCATAATCAGGAAGGGCCTACCATAGGGTTTTTGCTCAATGTTGGCGCGCACGGAGCCAGGCGTGTGGTGAAATCTTTGTAACTGGCTCGAAAGCTTGCGTTTTCTGATCGTGAAGTGGAGCGGAGATTTTTGATATAAAAAAGTAGCCCGGTGGGAGGAATTAAATTTCTCTAACGAATCAAAGTAAGAAAACGTCTCGCTAACAAGAAACAAGACTCACTAGGTCTCACTATAACGACCTAGATGATTACTCCGTGAAACGGCCCTGATCAAAATTGAACTAATTACAGGTTTGATGGCTTAGTGTGACGAGGGTGTTCTGGCACCGTTGCTTTGCACTGTTCCAAAAGTACTGTTTTTTTTTGGCAAATTCCTCTGCTGCAAATTAAAACTTGAATTGACGACTTCTCGTATCGTCGAAACAGACTGAAGGAGACTGGTAAACTTTGAGGCTTGGGTACAAAATTGCGCCTGGCATGTTTTGCAGCAGGGATGCAGTACTGGTCTTCCTTGGTCATCCAAAATCTTTGTCATTCTCGTGAATCATGAGGCTTCGACAAGAGTACAAACCTGAAAAACAACGGTTCGAAAATCCATTTGAACTTGAAGTTGACAGGAGTTCTAACGCTGATCGATCTGGAGAAGGGGACAACGGACTCTGCAATAGCATTTCTCTCATAAAACTTCGACAGAGCTACACAGCTCTTGGAACAACTGTTTGGGATTGAAGTATTGCACTCGCTAAGATGTTCGATAATCGAGATCTATTTCCTTTACATTATTTGCAGGAATGTCGAGTTTTAGAGCTTGGAGCTGGCTGCAGTTTAGTGGGAATTTATCTGTGTTTGTTAGGTGCGAAAATGACCGTTCTAACTGATCAGAAATGTTGTGTAAAAACTCTTAAAGACAACATGGCAGCAAATGTGACTGGAGTTGGTCGGAGTAGAATTAAGGTTGTGGAATATTGTTGGGGGAAAAGCACAGAAGATTTGACAAAAGATGGTCTGTTTCATCTCATTCTCGCTGCAGAATGTCTTTATTCAGCGGACGACTCTGTGCTTCTCGCTCAGTGCATGACAAAATTAGCAAAACCTGGTTTACGTATTTTCGTATCAATGGGAAGGAATCGTGGAGGTGAGGAAACATTTGTGAAACATATTAATGAGCCTATATGTATCATAATGACTTGATTTATACCACAGAAGAAATAAAAGTACATTCTCTAATGAATGTACTTCACTGTTAACATTTGCCAAAAGTATTTACAAAACTGTTTTTACCACCTAAAGTGCTATCTCATGCTGTCATTGTCATCAAATTGTTTCAGTAATTCAGCTTTGTTTGATGGGAAAACATTGTCACAGATCTCAAGAGGGACTATTTCTTTAAGACCAGAGAATCAAGTACAGATAATCAAATAATCTGGATAATCAAGGTTTGATAGTATTGATTTACTCAAACTCCTCTCTTGTGACCTCGCCTCAAAATCTTATCAATTAACCTTCTCAACCCCAAGATCTCCCTACTGTCTGCTGTATAATTCTTATGAGGTTAGTTCAGAGAATTTGGTATTTGATCAACTAGTTATCCCTTAAGTTATATTCATCTTTACTCTGATCACTTGTCATCTTATTGATACTGTGAGGAGAAATCCTACCTTGGTCTCTCATGCAATCAGAAATATTATACCAATTATGACAGTGTTTTTAGATTCCAAAATTTTGGAGTTACATGTAAAACATCAACAATAAAACGCAAGTGCAACACAATGAATTTTTTTGTGGTTTTTCCACACCCTCTCATACTTATATATAGGTATTGTTAAAAACTGTCAAGACTGATCCAACAGACTTGCAACTGCATGTACTGTACTTACAAAATGTAGTACAAATTCTTCAAGAGATTATGTTAACAAATGCATGCAGCTACTTCAGCTATTACAGTTTGGTGCCAAACCATTTTATGATAGACTAAGATAAAAAAAAGTAGGTTTTCAATTAACCATTAAGTCATTTGTATTGTACTTTATTTTCATTCATTTATGTTATTTTATTTCATTTTTTATGACGCCCTGTTGAAAACCATGTTGTGAAATGGGCCATCTGTTTAGAGAATTATGAAATTTATATTTTTATTATTAGTAGTAATTATGATTTTTAAATGCATTATGCTGTTGTCTGTATTGATGTCTGCAGGACAGGGTGTGGGTCTCAGCCACTAAAGCTATTCCCAAGATCTGCAAATAGTGTCTGTTAGATCTCATAACCAACTGCCTGGTATGAAAAGTGGGCAAGTGTATTTTTTTTTTACATTGTACACTGTGTAGCATTTATTTAGAAGTAAAAAGGTGTTTACATGGGAGGTACAGCTTTACATGTACGCTTGCATTCTAGGCATTTCTGTTATGATTGATGGCTTCGCAATCATATTACAGTTTTAACAATCAGACTGGTGCATTACTTTAATCATTTTGTCTGTGCATGAATAGCTGCAAGAAATACTTACAAGTGTATCTTGTCTTGTGTTTCCGAATAAGTGATAAATTTCCTCAAAAGGTATATATTTCTTGCAATTAATGAGAAATTCAATGCCAAAAATACTTACTTTTTAAATGTGAATGATTCCAAATATTACTGAGTAATTTGTATGTGATCTATGTCTCTAGTAACTGAGCAATTGACAACTGACAGTTTTTTTGTTCTGTTGCAGCCCAGACATTAATTTTTATCATGGATGTATTGAAAGGTATGAACAGTTATATT